ACAGCGGTTTTACTGGTCCCCTTCCTGGCCTCGCCAAGAATAGTGAACTCCACCATTTTGTGATCACCATGCCGAAGACAGCTCCCGACAATCACATCCTCCAAGAGTCCTTCTCTGTTTGTGAAGAGAAGGTCTAGCGGGGCGCCATCCCTGGTAGGTTCACTAACCAGCTGTGTCAGGAAGCTATCTTCCACGTTCTCCAAATACAGCCTATAGGATTATAACAGACCTATAGGACTGTAACAGACCAAATTTCAAAGAAGGTTAAATTATTGGGTGCCTAATTCTGCCAGTAACAACTGGCATATCTCCACAGTGAAATCCAGGGAAATCCACAGTGAAATTTACCAGGGAAGCTCATGGAACAGATCCTCTTGTGGTTGGAAAGCTGCCTGGCAGAGAAGGACCTGGGAGTATTGGTTGATAGTCGGCTGAATATGAGCCAGCAGTGTGCTCAGGTGGCCAAGAAGGCCAACAGCATCCTGGCTTGTATCAGAAGCAGTGTGGCCAGCAGGGCTAGGGAAGTGATCGTCCCCCTGTACTCGGCTCTGCTGAGGCCGCACCTCAAGTACTGTGTTCAGTTTTGGGCCCCTCGCTACAAGAAGGACATCGAGGTGCTTGAGCGGGTCCAGAGAAGGGCGACGAAGCTGGGGAGGGGCCTGGAGAACAAGTCCTACGAGGAGCGGCTGAGGGAGCTGGACTTGTTCAGCCTGGAGAAGGGGAGGCTCAGGGGCGACCTTATTGCTCTCTACAGGTACCTTAAAGGAGGCTGTAGTGAGGTGGGGGTTGGTCTATTCTCCCATGTGCCTGGTGACAGGACGAGGGGGAATGGGCTTAAGTTGCGCCAGGGGAGTTTTAGGCTGGATCTTAGGAAGAACTTCTTTACCGAAAGGGTTGTTAGACATTGGAACAGGCTGCCCAGGGAAGTGGTGGAGTCACCATCCCTGGAAGTCTTTAAAAGACGTTTAGATGTAGAGCTTAGGGATATGGTTTAGTGGGGACTGTTAGCGTTAGGTCAGAGGTTGGACTCGATGATCTTGAGGTCTCTTCCAACCTAGAAATTCTGTGATTCTGTGATTCTGTGATCCCATTCAGCTGGTCCTTACTTCAAAGCTAACAAATACCAACATCTGGCTAGCTGACTAAACCCCCTTAAGCAACAGAGGGGACAAATAGGCTTTCCTAAATGGCAAATCATTCAATACTTCAGGTTTCTTTAGGAATCATCCCATAAAGGTGCTACTTTCCCATTCCCAGTATGGATAACCTGGGCAAAGGGCTCAGAGCTGATGTGTACGTGAGAGATATCTCAAGTTCTATCATAGCATCTACGTCCAACATTTCCGTTGTACAGAAAGCTCATGAGGAATTCATCTTAAGGAGGGCATTTTCAGCTGGCAAGGAGTCACAGAGTCATACAGTGGTTTGGGTTGGAAGGAACCTTAAAAAACATCTAATTCCACCCCCTGCCATGGGCAGGGAGCACCAACACACAGTGTTTACATTCAAATATTATTCTCCCAGAGAGAGGAAAGTAAGCAGGCCAAAGATCAGCTATGTGCATTAGATATTTCTCTGTACTGGGCTATTGCTATTTCACAAAACTTCTTTCCAGGTCTTCTGGGACTGCAGACTTCATCATGGGCTGAAATAGCTGTTTAATAAAGATAGGAGGCATCTGTGATTCTGAGCAAACATATGTTTTGGCTTAAAGGCACCGAGCAGAGTTGTGGGATGATGAAAAGCAGCATGTCATTGCCTTCAGTAGCAGGCAGGTGTCAATCATGGAGGAAGCTAAAAGAAATGCTGTGAGCCTGCTGGCTTTGACAGGCAGAGGTTCAAAGGTGCAGCAGAGCTGCCTCTTGAATTCTGCTTTCAGGAGGTGACAGACAGTGAAGTGCAGCCTCGAGAAGAGAAGGGCCTCCCTTGGGAAAAGCCTTCTGAGAGAGCTTTATCAACCAAAGCATGGCTCTCCACTATCCCATCTGCAGTTAAACTACATTTCAGTCCCACTGCTTATTATTCTATGGAACTTTCTTGCCAAAAATAACCATGAAAGGGTCAGAAGCTAAGCCAAAGGTCCATCTATGCATGGACATTTACTTGTTCACAAAGTCTGCAAAAACATGCACATTACCAGCAGGGCTCTGACAGCAGAACTTCAGCATACAGAAAAGAAAATCCACTTTTTCCAACTAAAAATAAACACAAGATGTTCCATTGCTTAATTTAACTAGCAACATTTCTGATTCTTCCCTTTGAATTTCATAAACCCAAATGTTAAAATAAAGGGTGACAGACAACACAAATCAGGCTTGAGAAAAGGGAGGTCCTGCATTTCAGCCTCAACTTTGCCTCACATAGTTTCAGAAAGTAGGCATCAGCCAGTGCTTTTATTGTGAGCAGCCATGGGATGGAGGTAGCACTGAACTGAATATCTGAAGTTCCCTGCACTGTGAGGAGGGAGATTGTGTTGCTCTGGAAAGTGGCAATAAAATGCTGGATGTTTCCTTAGCTTCTCCCCAGTAAAGCCCTGCTTCTGAACACAGCTGAAGACCCTGGATCTTCATAAAACTCATCAAAAATACAAAGGATGAGTATAGTACAAGTCTTTTGTCATAGCTTTTATTGATGCAACATCCGCTTCCAGCAGGAAAAAAAAAATAGGAAGGCAGTAGGAAATACTAAAGATACTGATTTTTAAACAATCTGTATGCAAAAGCACACTTTTCTCAAGCATTACAATTTGTTTCTACCCGGATGGTTATTTTACAGACAGATGCATTCACTGAGCTGGACCACCCAGGAACTCGTGATAGATGGCAGAAGAGAAGCCAAAAGCCATGACTAAGCCACTGACCAGGCATCTCCAGAAAGCAGAGGTAGCAGGTTCCCAAGGAGCAGAGGGTCTTTCCCAAGTGTGCAGCAGTCAGAGTTCCCTCTGGAGGCTGCACAAGTCACACTCCAAGGCACAGTGCACAAGAGGAGCTGAGTACCTTGAACAGGAAGATGAGAGTTTCCACACTACTCTACAACAAAGGACATGGTTGGTTTACATTTTATGTCAACTGACAACTTGGAAGAGGAAAGTAAGTTTTCTGCTAACACTTTGAGTGGTGACATTTTTACCTGATGAGGTGTAGAGCAGCACTGCCCATCGTGAAATTACAGAATAGGAAAGTTAAGAGATGTGAATTACAATTTCAGTTCAGAATATTCCTCAGACTTCAGCAGAAAAAAAAAAAAAAAAGTAGAAAAAAATAGTGATACTTTAAAAAAACATTGTATATGTTTATAATGGTCATCCCATTTTGGATGGGACTCTGGCCAAAGCATTTTTCATAGCAACTCTTGTTGCCTCAGAGACAGTAACATCAGCAAAGTACAGTGCCATACTCTTAATTACTACTCAGTTTTATGAGCTATGTCCCTGTCATATTCATAAAATTATTCAATTTCTGAGTCCTTTAAAACAATTTTTAACTACTTAACCAGCAAATGTTCCTGAAAATAGCTAGAAAATGGTTGCATATTTAGATTATGTATTTATTATTTATTTATTTATTTATTTATTTATTTATTTATTTATTTATTTATTATTTATTATTAAAAAGGCATCATAAATGATCAGTATCATTATTATTTTAAAAAAAGTATATGTTAAATGAAGAAATTAAATTATTTAAAGCATCATAGTTTTAAGAACATAAATTAAGAAAAATGAAGTATCTAAGAAGTTGTGGAAATATTTTTGGCAATAAAATGACTTATCAGAAGTAATGAAAAACAAAAAAATTGCTTCCTTAATTATCATATATTGCCTTCATCAACTTTAAAGTAAAGCGCCTCTGTTTGTTTAATATAATATTCTATATTAAATGCACATGCACACACACACAACTAATTCCAACATAAAAATGATTTAAATAATTTTAAAATTATTTAAATTATTTAAATTTATTAAAATGTTAATAATTTTAAAATTATTTTTGGCCTTTCTCTGCATGCAGATTAATCCATAATTTCTGCAGAAACACTTGAAGCATCTAAAGAAAAGCAGAACATATTTTGCTTTTATCCAAAACATTTTATAACTGTTTAATGCGAATACTCAAAACCACTCTGAGAGTGGGAGGGGGAAATTTGTTCATTGGCTGTAATGGTGGATGGAAAACGTATGTGCTTCAGGGAAAAGGAACTATTTCTAATATGAACTAAGGCATCTGAGGACAAGGGCAGGGGAGAGCAGGGGGCTGTTTGTTGTTGCACATTTCCTAGAAGACAGCATCTGTAAACATGTTATGTCTACTAATAACTAATAACACAGAAAGTGAAAAGTTGGAAAGAGGGGGAAAAACTCTTTGGCATTCAGATACAGAGTTCATCAGATATTTAGTAAATACAAGCTATTGTGGATCTCCTGCCAACAATATACTTTCTAAAAAATAGTAAATGGAATTGCTTGCAGTGAATCCAGGCTCCCTAAAAGCTGGGAAAGGCCTTTCTTGCAGAACACAAATAAGGCGTTTCAAAGAGAAGACTACCCAGAAGAAAATACATTTTTTTTTCAAACAATGGTGGTTCATTTCGTAACAGTGAGATCCATCTGCCCAGAACAAACACAGGAGTGTCACTGCTAGAGAATTGCTGCTCTGTATAACTCCGGTTCAGCCTCGCCACCCCCACCACCCTGCCCCACCCTTGTTGCAGGAACCATTAGATCTGGCTTCATAGTCAGAACGTGTTGCCCTGGGCTACGCCTCTTCAAGGTGTGAATGTCTCGGAGGATGGAGATTCCCCTTCCTCCCAGAGCAAACAGTTCTAATTTAAATGCCAGTTATATGGAGCTGCATGTGTGTGCACAGCTCAATAACAGAGAAAATACAAGGCTTTTCAAAGAGTGGAGCACTGCCATAGTGGAAGTATAGACAGGGAGAAGCTCAAGTGCTGGGACACCTTGGCAGCATCTGTAAGAAGCTGAATTGACAGCTGTGCCTTACCTTGGCAATGAACATCTCTAGCTTTATTCAACCTTTCCAAAGATTGCTGCATGTTCCAGATGTATCTGTGCTAGGAGACCTGGGAAAAGGAGACATCTATTGGAGCAAACTTAACTCTTAATGACAGGTTTGGTGGGCAGTAACCTTCTGTTAATTAATGCAATATTAATACACAAATTAGCAAACTGCTTAACAAAAGAAAATCCAAGTAAAGCTTATTCTGTTTGTGCATACAAATCATATCATATTATGCAGTCTACTTAGTCCTTGAATGCTAAACAAAGGGATAGATCCCTGCAATATCTCTACACTGGCAGGTGCTTCCAGCTCCAGGTACAACAGATGAGTTGTTATTTTATGCTCCCCTGTGCTGAAAACCAGCAAGGTTAATGTGAAGAGCGAATGGGAAGATTTATGAAGACAAGACAAATAAAAAACCTCCCTCAGAAGATCAGGAAAAGAAATACTTACCATGAGAGGCAAGATTATTTAAACTCAAGTTATATTTTTTAATTGGTTAGACAACAGTGATGTGGAGTAAATGGTGTGGAAATTAAGTACATTTATTTTAGAAAATCAATTAGAAAATCACTTTCAAATGGGGTTATAGGTACGTGGAAGTTATCTGATTGAGATAACTGAGACAAATTAGGTTTAATTAAATTAAGACTGTGAACAAATATGCCAGGAAGAATGTAAAATCCCTGTCCCTGTTATTTTCTTGGGGGCTGTCCTGTAGGGCAATATTTTTGTATCTCTTCTGTTAACTGAACTTTTTCAAAGTCAAGTTTTCTGGTGACCCTGTGTCCAAATATTTACTAGAAAAGAAATAATAAGCTTATATGCAACTGATAAAAGTGATGAAGCGGCCACATTTCATTTTAGAGGGCTACAGAAAATATTTAACCTTGAGAAATGGTGGGAGGATGTAGAAGGGTAAGATTTTTCTGCTTTAGAATGAAAAACATTACGATGCCTCCCTCTTCCACTGCCAATTACCTTTATTCCACCATTTAAGGGTTACTTCTCCTGTGTTGAGAAACATCTCCACTGGTAATTCTGTTAATATGTAAACCTCCTTTGGGTACATATTGCTTCAGAAATGTTAAAAATAGGAAAGACTCTTCAGATCACACACTCAAACCCCAGCCCAGTTAAGGTCATTATATCTCATCCAGTAATTCCTCAACAGAGCTCAACAGACTGCAGCTGAACTTAAGACTGTACCATAGACAGACATCACTCTAATTAATAGCCCTTTAAGATGAAGAAAACACCAGATCTCCCAGAAGCTGTTTCGGGGTCTCATTACTCTCATCAATAACATTATTTGCATTTCTTCACTTCTTGATCTTTTATTTATTATGCAAGTGAGGAAGGGAAAAACATTTTCTTTGAGCCAATGGTTACACAAGTCATTCTGGAATCATTAGCCAAGTTGCATCTCAGTTTTCTGTCACTCTGTAGAGCATGAATCATGGACTGTAAGCCTCCAGTTTTTTCTTTTAAGATAAAACCTACTATCTGACAGAACAATCCAAGAAGTGGTGAGGAAGAATACTTCGTTCTGAAAACATTTTTTAATAATATGTGAGCTGATAAAACTCTCATGTTAACATAGAGAAAGGTGCAAGAAATCTGAAAATGAACAATCACCTTCTTCCCAAGACAATTTATACCATGAAGCATGAGGGTTAACTGCTTTTCAAGATTGTATTAATTTGTTTTTAGTATGATGCTATCATTATTCATATCGAGTATATTAATAAGTCAAACCTTTGGGTGTAGTATCTGATGGTACTGGAGTCCTGAGACAGCTGTATGGGCTGTGGGGAATAAAACAACCCATCTACTCCAACCCTTTTCCATTAGATAACCAGAATAGTATGTGCACAATAGGCTTCCTTTGTCAAGAGCCATGACATGATGATCTTGTTTTTAATTTAGTGCTGACCCAGATGTGAGCACACAATAAAGGATGATATGGAAAACTCCTTATGCTCCCTTTCATGAGCTCAGCTTTGTATTTAATTGAATGATGTCATCCCAGGGGTAATGAAGATACAAACATCATCAGCTATCCTGAAATTCCTAGCATGCAGTTGTTTATTGGATAGTTTATTTTGTTTTTACCAGCTTAAAAAAAAATAGCAGCATCCCTCAACAGGCTGTCCTAACTGTGATTCAGTGAGCTTCAGTTTAAATTAAGAAGAATTAACATTCCCTGGTTTCCAGGTTTATCCTGAAAACAACATTTGAATGAGCAACATATGCAGTTATCTATAATAATGTCAGAAGGACGCTTGGGATATGTATCCTTCGGCAGTGACAAACACCCATTTCTTTTACCCCATGCCTGGCATATGTTCCGTGTGACACCCAAAAAAAAAAAATAAAAATGCCAAACAGTGACCCACAAAAGAGCTCCTGGGGGACTGGAGGAGGTAGAAGAAATGGAGCTGATCTCTGAAATATTTGAGGTGACAGAGGCTTCCTTGGGATCTGTGCAAATTGATAAAAAACACAACAAATAATGTTCAATATGCAAGGCATTTTCATGGAAAGTGGTCAAACTTAAGTACCCTCCCCTGCAACTTTGCCAACAGTTCAGGGTACAACCAGAATAAGGTGACAGCATACGCGTAATTCTGCTTGTGTTCATACAGCAACTTTTGTGCCTTCAAAATGTGCCCTCTCTCTCATCGATTGTTTTAGGGCAGTGCTCTGGAATATTCTCTCAGTCTGTCTTTGTCAGGAAGCTCAGGTTTTATGAACGTTCATTTATTCTTTCTCTCCTTCTGTTGATCATTTTCCCGTGTTTGTTCTGTGCTCCCAATAGGAGAATTGCTGGTTTGTAACTTAGGCACAGTGGCACAATGTGGACTCTACATGTTGGCAATCGCACTAAGTTGGCCAGCACAAAGACGGTGTTTTGATCGATACTTTTGTATACGGGGGGTTGGGAAATTAAAGAAGTGAAAATGGGTAGAATTAGACAGGGATTTAATTTGTGCCAGCACCTAATAGTCAAATACAGAACATTTCTATTAGATCAAGACCCTGAGTTCAGGTGAGATTACTATTTCACAAAACAAACCTATTCTTGCCTAGTGACCCCAGTGGATCTAAGAGAAACAGGTTTGTGACTCCAGGCAGGATGGAGGAAAGGAGAAAGTTTCGAAAACAGAGGAACCATGAATCCATTCTACTTCCCCTTCATGCTGCCAGTGAACAGAAGGCATTATGTGTCCCATTCAAGGTCATGGAATCTTTTATACTACAGCCAACACTAGGAAACTGCACTCTGAAGTGGGTTAGAAACATGTAAAACACTTTGATTATGTGGGAAAGTTCACTTGCAGTGCTTTGAGCACAGAACTGGGAAAATCATATTTATCAGGGCCTTTGGAAACAGCCAGTGAATAAGATGGTCTCCACCTGCACGCAGACATGTTTAGCACAAGCAGTTCCTAAATATCAGATTATAGACCATATTTCTGACTCTCTGTAACATTTAGCAGCATAGTGACAACTGAGGCATAAATACAGTCTTCACAATACCTGTTTTCTGTTGTCGCTTTTTAATTCAAAGCCCACATGCACTGTTTAGCTTGTCATAAATCCAATAAAAATTGGTACTTCTGATTTTCCTTAGAAAACATACCATAGGCTCCAATTTACAAGTTTTATGAATTGCTGTAACTACAGCAAAAGACACGTTCAACAAAGCAGTTTTAGGGCTTCATAAAGACCAAGCTGACTTCAACAACCCCTTCCCAGCCACCATTGGAGAACTGAGCTCCAAACATTCAGAAAGCTCTCCATGACAAAGAAAAATGACGTATGCTTTCTTAAGAGCAGTACTTGAGTATTTACTGTTCATGACACCAGATATTTATGATTTGTGAAAGATATGGTGGAAAATAATAGTTGCTGGCCTGAGCAAGTTTCCATGTCAACTGCTTGCATCACTGCAATGCTTCCTGTTTTATATTTTGGTCACTCACTCAACTTTAAATAGAGGGCTGTTCCATAAATCACCAAATTATGCTTGAAGCACTTCAGTAAAGCATTGGAGAAATTGGCTTGACAGGCAGCCTAAGTTTTCTAGAGATACAAAACTGACTGAAGAGGTGTTGAAAGAAACTGATTAATGAGCTAAAAGTAGTATTTGGTACTACGTGTTCACAAGCTGTCAGTGAGCCACTGGGTCAGCAAAGTGAGGTTTACCCAGCACAGAGGGCAGCATATGGCCCCAGCTGTTCCGCAGGATGGAGCACAAGTTCCTGGCTCCACCACTGATTTGTATGAAAACATCATTGTGGAAATAATAAAAAAAAAAGACATACCAAAAGATCCCAAAATATTTAACTCTCTTTTTGCCTTAGCTCTTCAATTTATTTTAATTGTAAATGATCTTGCTTTAGGAGCAAAGAACCTACTTATCCATCAGTGTTTGAGCACCAGACAATGTGCTGAGATTGCAAATTTTAAAATATTTTATTGACACTATAAAATTTAAATACCCATTACACTGGACTTAGAGTAAAAAAAGCACTTAGCATTATAAAAACATCAGGAATTGGAAGAGTTATTAATTTGCTGTGAAATCAAGATGTTTAATACTTAGCAGTGGTGTTATTTTATTTCTCTGGTTTTCTTTTGCATCTTCTTAATATTGTTTATTTGTATTACTGTAGTTAGTTATAAGACTGTAAGCATTTTTCAGCTAAATATTGGTAAAAATTTATTATTAGAAAAAGATATCTGAAATTTCTAAAGCCACCTCAGTAGCCAAAATGCCTAGTGGCACTAATTTTAATGGAGAGAAATTTCCAGCCTTACAAAACACAAATTTGCAATCTAATTTTGCAAAGAAGCTGTATATATATTTTAAATTAGGTTCTAGTTTAATAAAAATATTAAGAAATTATGGCAATATTTTCTCCTCAACAATTTTTGTTAACAGTACCAGAGCATAGCTGTAGCTAAGGCTCAGCTGGTACTCACATATTAAATCCTCAGGGTATTTAATTTTATGAAGTCATTATATTTAGATTGATATTTTTTTCTGCAAATTTTCCACCAAAATTGATTTTTTAAGCCATTTTGAGGACTGTGTGCTTTAGCAGACCTTTTTTTTTTTTTTTTTTTTTTTTTCCTTCTGGTAGACTATGTCACTTTTGCCAGTTATTTCTCAACTGGGAAAATAAAATAAGAACAATGCTCCTGAACTGATATAACTTTAAACTGGAGGTTTGATGAGTGTATGTATTGAAGAATCAGGTGTAAAGATTTTTGCACAGAATCTCAAAACCCTTCCCTTGGCTAGGATTTTGTCATGGACTGTCTTCTTAAGCAATCCCCCTCTTGCCGCTTTGGCAAGACAGCTGCTGCTGAAAGTTATGGATCTACTTCTGCAGAAGGAAAATTTACACAGACAAGGAGCCCCCACTGTGGAAAAGCTCGAGGAATGTGCCACAAGAGCTGGTCACCATGAGTGGCATGGGGCAAGCAAAGCAGGAATGCCCAGGCATTGAATCTTCCAAAATAGTTATGAGGAAGCATCTAGCAAAAACTAGCAGAGAGCAGATTCAAACTAACTGTCCTTATAACTGTTCCTATTGTGAGCTGGAATTCCTCGCCATGGGATGCTGCAGATGCTAGAAGCATGTATGAATTGAAATGTAATTGAAAATCTCCCAGGAGAAAATCCATTAAAGACATATCAGCTGTGAATGCCATGTCTACTATTTTCTCATTTCTTTTCCCCAGGAATGATCCCTAAGCAAAATTAGGCATAATTTTTACTTTCTTTCCTTTACCTTAGTTGTGCATATGTAGCTTTTACACCACTTTGCAGGAGAGCACTTTCTATGCCTTTCCAATGAAAGGGCCTGAAGGCAAGCACAGTGGAAGAGCAAGGACAGGATGCTGAAGAATTGCACGGGAAATTGGATCCTCCTTTTCTCTTTAGAAAACTTAAGGTTGCTCCAAGAATCTAAGTGGACTATCCTCTGGACAAAATCCTACCCTGTGTTTGCTCAGGATCAGACAGCAAAAAGCACCACCACATGAGAAGAAACGCTGGCTACAGAGAAATGGCTTTGAACTGCTGGTTTGCTCGCCAGGACAAAGTGGCACAAGCAGATTTAGCAGGCAGAGCTGATGTGTTTGAACAAGTCAAAAATCAGGAAGTGTAAATGAGGATGGAATCAAAACCTAATGAGCAGCAAAGCAGAATTCATGCGTTATCAAGAAACTGTATTTAATTTGCCTTATAGGAACCAAATATAGCAAGTAACGGTTATGGGTTTACTAGACAAACTTTGTAAGCCTATGAAAATATGATTCATTATCAGACATCTTTTGAAGATGAACCTTGACTTCATTTCTTTTTAATGGCTACTGACCCTGATAACCTGACTGATGCTTTTCTGAGAAAAGGCCTGGGTCTGTAGTTTCCGTGGTACCACCAGGTGGGCACTGAAGGGCCCATGCACTTGCCAGGATTTGCAGTTGTAAAGGAAACACTGCAAAGGTTTAAAAATTGTCGTCATCATCATCCTTATCAGATTTTCTGAAAGACTGTGAAATGTAAATTGAACACAATCTGTGGTGGGCAGGCAATGAGAAAAGCTTGCTAATAAATATCCTTGTTTCTTATGTACAGGATTGTACATTACTTAGTTACTTGGCTACTCAGAAACGTCCATGTGTTTAAGTTCTACTACATGCCCTGTGCTATACCTCTATATCAATGGTATTTCACTTATTATTATTAGTTATGGTACAAGATAAAAACAGGTAGCAAGCGAGGAAGAGGAAGCTTTTCCATATTTGAAATAACATCTGGGACACTTACAGCTTGTCAAGGACACATTTCTCTTCTGAGTCACGGGACTGAAGTAGAGGCCAGTTTGTGCTCTGCAGTGCAGCCAGTCCAGCAAGCCTTCCTCTGAGCAGCCAGGGTCAGGAGCAGACAGAGACCAAAGGGTTACAGCAGGACACAATTGCAGGGCAATTCCTAGTAAAGTCTTTTAAGAACATTTCTTTCTTTCTTCTGTGACCCTAAGGCACTACCTTCCAGAAAGTTTCTTACTTTCACTAAGTGGTAGAGATAGAAAACAGCACAAGCAGAATTCTTAGAAATATTTCATTGATTTGTTATCATGGGTCATACATTATCTGCCATGCAATGTTGCAACCTTTTTCCTTTCAGCAGAAGAGAAGCAATACTGTTTTCCAAAACACTGCCTAACTAAGGAGTTCCTGGAAAAAAAAAAAAAAAAAAAAAAAAGGAGAGCCGTTATGGCTGCAGAGAGATGTTGTGCCACTTGAACTGAAAACAAAATAAAATCAAGCTACTGATCATACTGTCTTGTTGTATGTTATTGTTAATTCAGTTTACTGAGTTCTGCTGCTCAGTATGTAAACTAATCAATTTGGAAGAAGTTATGCTAAATTATGCTATGGGATTTTTCAGTCTACAGTCAACAATGAGCAAATGAACAGGCCTCTTCGAGATGCTTTGTGAATAAGCAGCATTCCTGTTTGCTTGCACTGGATATTTAATAGGTAACAGATTCAACAGTTAAAGCGTAATCCAAATACCACTTCAAACAGCTCGCACCATGCTGTCTCATATTGAAGAGCCACCTTTAAATATCACCTCAGTGCATTCAACTCATGAGGTACCCTTTCTGAACTCCTTAAACTTATCAAAGGCTACCACAGAAAAGCATCTTGGCCCTGGTGGTTGAACTAGTCCATTGTAAAAATACACAGCCTAAGCCTGATCATGTTACTGACTCAGCAGGGGCAAGTTTCAGTCTGTCAGTTACACATCAAAGTATTTCTGCAGTAATGGAATTTTCCAGGTGTCAGGCAGATTAATTATAAAACAGAAAGGAATTACAGTATCCAGGAGTATTTCAGCCACCACATTTCCAATAAGCAACATCCAATTTCATTTCACAAGTCACAAAACTCAATTTTTCCAGGCTTTCCAAACCTGACTCAGACTCCCAGGTATTATGATACAACAAATGTAATAATTACTCATGATGGCACTGTCTTGAAATAAATGTATACGACAAAGGTAGATTTTATTGTTTTCTTTGTTTCTGTGGTTCTAGCACTCACATGCAGAATTGTCTTTTAAATGTATTTGTCGTTACAAGCATCTTAAATATCTGTCCTAAAAATATTGTGGCTTTGACACATAAATACAAGTATTTAATACTTATAATAGAAATGCATTTGCTGGATTCCCTGCAAATGCTTGATAGCTTATGTGTTTCAATTAAGCTGCTTAGCTGAAATTTAGCTGTGTACATGTCCAGAAGTCACTAGCTCTTCTCCAGAAAACGCCAATGTACCTAAAATTCTGCTCTTGAAAAATGTTCAGTGTTTGCGGGCAACTCTGTCAACCATGCCAAAACCACAGAAAGTTGAACTTCCTAGAGCAGAGCCCTGGATGATACATAGTATAAAATAGCATGCAGATACAGTAGAATATTCTATTCTAATTAAGCCATCAAATTATTTCCATTATTAAATATAATCTAGTTATTTCCCTAGCTGATGCTTGAAGGTTTTCAAAATTTCAGTTTGTAAAATTTAATTTTCTGGAGTGAGTTAATTTGATCATTGTCACCTTTATATACATCCTGCTATGGATGTGCACAAACTTTTGTGTTTAATTTTTAAATGACAGTGTTTAAGTAGATTGAAAATATCTGATTTATCATTCCAAAATGCATCTATCTCATGGTTCAGGTGAACTTACTGAAAGGATCATTTCCCAAAATAACATTCAAACTAACTGCAGAAGTATTCCTGAGAGCTCATTTTGAATAAGCATTTCTCCCTATTGACACCAATTCCCAAAGTCCTATCAGCCCTGCACATGCTCTGCACCTTGCCCCCGAGCCGTGCACACCAGGCCTGAAGACAAGCAAGTCCCCAACAAACTCTAGCACACTTCTCCAAGTGCATTCAAAGCTTAGGAGAGAAAGAAAGAAATCAGCCTAACACTCACTTCTTGAGATAAACTTCTAGGGCAGTTAGGGTCAGAAAAAAAAAAAAAAGAAAAAAAAAAAAAAAAAGCAACTGTGAACAGAACCCTTCAGAACCTTTTCATTGTTTTTTTGTTTGTTTGTTTTGTTTTTTACCTTAAATCGATGGGATTATTTAATAAAATACTTTTACAAAAGCATGCTGGTTTTTGACAGAAGGTAGTGGTGTTTAAGATAGATTACTTAAGATAGATACTAATTACATTTTACTGACTGTAAAAAATATGTTTAAATGTGGTTTCTTTTTAAAATTTTTTGCACTTGTACATAGTAGAAAAATATTACAAACAATATTGAATTAGTTGTTTGTCCATGATCCTCACAAACTTCTGCTATCTTAGATGACATTACACTCCCCGTATCTAATGCTTGCTCAATATGAAATTTTAACAATGTGTCTGTTTACAGTTTATAACATGGTAGAAAATGTTCATTTTCTCTTAGATTTTGGGAGTGAGCATATGTTTTTTCCTGAAAGGAGGAGAAAGAAGAGAAGACAGGAAAGTTGCCATTTTTGTATCTGTGTTCAGCCTCTTAAATTCATGTATTATTAAACTTGATATTTGCAAGGTCTTCCATAAGTGCCCTGTAGTTCAGGTGTCCCTTTGCTCTCTCCTGGCCATTGAACTTGCAGCAATAATGTTGCAGTAAATTTTTATTTCTGCTTCCAGGCAGACTCATGGTACCAAAAGAATATTTTTCCTTATAATTTATTTTAGGCCCTGAGTGAAGCTAGTCCTGCAGAACCACAAACAGGAAAGCATAACATGAGGAAAGGGAAGAAATTAATTCACATTTTCAAAAAAAAAAAATGCACTTACTCATCAATAACTATTGTATCTGTACTGTCACTTATGTTCCACACAAACCTGTCCATAAGTTTGAGGAGTGAAAATGAAATTTTGGGGTGGCTATCGTGCACAATTGCTTTAACTGGATGGTTATGCATTACCATTTGAACAGATGGGTGCGCTGACTGATGGCACATTCGGCTATTGCTTCTGACTCTAGGCCAAACTGACATTCAAATTCCCTGCCCAAATACTTCATGGGGTATTTTTCAGCATCCTTGTGTCCATATTCGCACTCTCTCTGCCATGTCCTGCCACCCCGCAGCCTGTGCTTAGCCCCTGTCTATATCCCATAGCTCACGCTGGTGAATGGGCTGGCTCCCAGCTTGGCAGCAGGCTATCACTAAGCAAGCTAATTCCACAGCTGTCTTGTCTCCTTATCCCACTTCCTTTCTGCTCAGCGCCCACAGTGTTTAAAAGGCAAGTAAAAATAATATAGTTGGGCTCCAAATGTTATTGACACAACCAGTCCCGTGCTTACTTGGAATAATGATGTATGTGTCTGCCTTGGTGATGGTGCCAAATCCAGTTATTTTCTTGCAAGTTGCATAGTATGTCCTTAAGGCCCCTGTTGTGCAATTATGTGTTGAAAAGAAAGTTTCTAGGCTACATGTTTGTAGTGAGAAGTTTGAAAACACAAGAAGCCTAAGGTTCCAAAAAAGGCAACTAAAAATTAAAATAAAAACCCTGTGCTGTTTTCTTTTTTCTTCACTGCTTTTAAGTTCATTTCATGAATTTTTGGGGATCTGAACTAACTTTTCAGTGCATGGGTTTGGCATTACTAATGTAAATGTAATGTAATTTGGTAATTAGCACAAAATGTCCCTTTATTTTGGGATCCACTAAGTCACTTAGCTATGAGAAGCATTTCCCAATGTGAAAGAATGTATTATAGCACTAGATGTTACACCAGTATTGTAGACTCTCAAAAAGCAAAATCAATCTTACACATTTACAGTTTGAGCCACAATATTGTAATAAAGTCAAGCTGGACAATACTTTTAGAGATCCACGGTGGCTAAGTTTTTTTGAGATTCCTAGAAACCAGTCTTAAGCACTGATAGACTGTTGTTTTTTTTTTGTTTGTTTGTTTGTTTTATAAATATTTATATATTTTTTTGCTTGTTATATTGCACTAATAAGGAGGGAAAATGCAATTCATGTTACCATATAATTGTAATTCTAATATATGAACTACTTCTTATTGCAGACTGAGTTGAAATAACTGAATTTATTCTACTTAGAGTGATCCTTTTCAAATTGAAAATAATTGTGGTTTTTTGTTTGTTTGTTTGTTTGTTTGTTTTCCCACTGTATCTTTCATGTTGTGAAGGAGACTTCTGCAGTTATCTGGTACAACAGAGTTTCTGAATCATTCTCTCTTCTTCTGCCTGTTAGTCGATATCATACAAGTAAAGCCTTACAGAGAAATCTTTCCTCCCATTTTATACTTCACATTATCTTATGCCTTCCAATATCAATTATCCTTTCTGGAATTATCCTGAAAAGAAAAAAAAAAAAAAAAAAAAAAAGAAAAGAGTAATAATTCACATCAACATTTCAGGACTGGCTTTAGGTGCTGGGTACATTATTTTTTACATGCATTTGAGAAAAAAGTTCAACACTGTGCAGAAATGTCTAGAAGTTTCTCTCCAGTTTGTGGACACTGCACTGGCTGGGAATCTAGCAGTTTCCAAATCTGAACCTGCTTTGTTGAATTTGATTGTATCAGCTCCCTTGGACATAACCACCATTCCTGTATCACTGAACTTTGTGCTTAAACACAGCTAGAGATTGAAGTACATTGAGTACTATCAGTACACGGAGCCTTTCTTATCAGAACCATAAACCCTAGTGGTAAGTCAGAACCTACTAAGATGCACCTGAATGACATGAAAAAATACTGCTCTGGCCTGCTTCATTGTTAATCACATGTTTCTGAAATTCCAGAAGTTCAAGGAGGTTAACCATGGCTTTCAAGTTACATCAAAACAGCCTGCTTTGACACATTGGGAGCAGACTTGAAGACACTGGCTAAATTCATTTGAACCCAGTAATTCCCATAGAGCACCTAAGACATGCATCGCTTTGCATCATGTAGCGCATCTTGGCCATGCCCAGGAGCTCTTCATTAAGTTATAACAACAGATTTTAGTATCAACTGCCTTAATTAAACTGTCTTAGCTAATCATTG